TCAAAAGCTAATATTAGTTAAGTTTTAGAGTTGAAGGCTGTTCCCGATCTGCTTTTAAAGCCCTCTGCTTCTCTGGTCCTATTCCACACCACTTCTTTCCTGCTTCCAACTCACCAGTCTGACAGAACCATGTTCTAGTCCTGATACATTCCACAGTTTCTTTTCCATGTTTACTGAGATAAACTGACATGTAGCATTGTGTAAGTTTCAAGTGTATAATATGTTGACTTGATTCACTTATATATTGCAAAATGCTTACCACCACAGCATTGGGTAGGGTGTGACACCTGCATCACGTCCTAAATGACCATTTCTTCTTTGCAGTGAGAACATGTAAGATTCCCTGTCTTAGGAACTGTAAAGGATGTAATATAGTATCATTAAGTATAATCACCGTGCTATGCATTCGATCCTTGGAACTCAGTGACTTTACAACTAGAAGTTTGAACTCTTTGACCAATATTTCCCTCTCTCCTACCACCCCATGCGTCTGGTAACCACTATTCTATTCTGTTTCTTTGAGTCTGACTGTTTTAGAGTTCACACATATGTAATAATCATATAGTATTTGTCTTTATCTGGCTTATTCTGACTTAATTTCTTCTAGCATACTGCATTCAAGGTCCATGTTGGCATTAAGGATGGATCTTGAATGCAGTATGCTAAATGAATCCATTCTTCTTGTAGCTGAATTATATATATACATACATATCTTCGTATCCATTCATCTGTTGATGGATACAGGTTATTTCCATATCTTGACTATTGATTGTAAAATTTCTGTCTTTCTTTTTGCTTAATTTACTTAATTTTTACTTTTTTTGGCCACATGGCTTGGTTTCCCAACTAGGGATTGAATCTGCACCTGCTGCATTGGAAACACAGAGTCTTAACCACTGGACTGCCAGGGAAGCCCCCCACTCCACCTCCAGAGTTGCTTGTATCATTTTTCACCTGTCAGTTAACTTCTTCCCCAGTTTCCTTGATTGTGATCCTATTCTTCCTTTAAAGTAATCACATCTTTTCTTCTACAAAGTCATCTCTGATTCCCTTAGTACAAAAATAATCTCTTCCTTCCAGTCATTCTCATGGCATTGCATATTTTTAAAATAAAAATTTAAACACAGAATAGGATGAGATTTACAGAGAAGTTGTGAGAACTGTATAGGGAATTCTGTATTCCTCTTAGCTCATTTCCCTTAACGTTTACATCCTACATTACTATGGTGCATTTGCCACGACTAATTAGCATCATTGGTATATATACTGAGCACTTTCATTTATATTGTAACTGACTCATAACTGTAAACTCCTTGAAGTCAGGCCCCGTGGCCACTAACTTTTTCATTTCTGTAATTCGTACTAAGTCTGTGTTTCCCACCGAGCACTGTGTGAGCACCAAAACAATACACGTCAAGTGAAAGAAGAGTTGTCCTCATTCCTTTAATTGCCTACCTCAACCAAAGCCCTCAATTTGTCTGTTTATTGTAAGTCAACTTTTTGTTGGGGTAGAACATACATGCAGAAAAATGCGATCATAAATTACAGAGCTCACTGGATTTTCACAAGTGAGCACACTCATATAATTCACCCACATCTTCAAATAGAATATTTCCAGCACATTTTCTTTCCCCAGAAGTCCCCCAGTGTACCTCTCCTGGTAACTGCTGCTTTCCATTTTGATGTCTGATATTGCCCTCAGTTTTAATAATGAATTCACAATCACAGTATCTTGGTATAACCAACTTTTATATTGTCATATCCATGCAAAGTGGCTTGAATCTATCTATTAAAAAATTAACTGCTTGATTAAAGGAAGTACAATGAAGTAGTTTCCCCAACAGCCGAACAATGTCCATTGTCTTTGTAGTTTATATAGTTTCTGCATCAAGGTCCAGCTTATGGTTGGGAGTACCCACTCTGGCTGAAGGACAATTCCAGTCTGACAACATCAGTCAGGCCAGTGTAGGAAGTAGGACATAAACCATTTTGGTTTCTGTTCCCTTAGAAACACATGGAACAAAATAGAGTTTGCCAAATGGAAATATACAAAACCACCAGGGAAATAAATGTTATTTTTAAGCTTCTAAGAGGCTATCACAAATAACTGGGAGGAGAGTGGAAAGAATTCAAAACGCAGGTGACCTTTTAACAGGCAGAACACAGCAGGGTCAGCAAGTGCCTAGAGAATGTTGTGACTTGGAGAAAGATGCTGAGAGCCCAGGCCAAGAGGGACTGACCTCACTGGACATGATGAGAAGTAACTGTGAAGGAGTTGGCTTTTCCCTAGTCCTGTGAGAGCCAGACAGCAAAAAGGAAACCATCCTCCAGAAATGGAAGCTTTGAAAATCCCTGGATGCTAAAAGAGGACCAGATTTTGAGATCTGGGAGCTGGTGGGTGTGCTGCTGGCAGGCAGGTCTGGAGTGTTGCCCTCCAGAAGCCTGGTTCTCCTCTCCTCTCTGAGCAAGTACCATGGTGGTTTGTCTTAATGCTGCCAGTTGGTCAGTCTGGCTTCCCTTGTAGAGATAGCACTGAGGAAGCTGACTACACTGGAGACAGAGCTCTCTCCTAAAGGGAAAGCATTCCTAGACCAAGCAAAGAGGGAGAGGGGAAAGCTAGGGCTGTTCCTGGCTTTCCTTTGGGTTACAGACAGTCATGACCAAGCACAGCTGGGACCCACAGTGTTCTGGTCACTCACACAACTAGTAGGATGGTGTGCCCATTTACTAACTAGACTAACAAGTGAGAGTGCGTAAGATCTGGAAGAAAAGGCCCTGGGAAGCTGAATTTACTCTCCAGCTGCCAGCCTTTCTCCCACTATTCCCTTCTCCTATCACAACTTGCAGACAAGGTGCTTTGCAGGAGGTAAAATAGAAGTAGGCTTATGCAGGAGCCCACAGAGAAGTTTTGGATGGCTCACAGGTTCTGCTTATCCCAGCTATCTGGAATCTTACAAAAACATTACACCAGTCTCTCATAAAACGGAGCAGGGACTTTCCAGAGGGCAGATCACAGCAGGGCAGTAAATGCAAGTGGTGATTCTCTCCCTTCACTCAGATCTAGTTCTCCCTCCTTTTTTTTCCCTTTGATTTTATTATTATTATTTTAATAGAAAGAGACAAGAGTTTACCCAAATAATACATTGGAGCTTGTGACCAACAGAATTAAAATAGATAGTTTAATAACAATGTTCTAAAAATAATCAAATCTGAGAGAACAACATCAAAACTTGTATATTATCAAGTGTGAAACAGACCGCCAGTCCAGGTTGGATGTATGAGGTAAATGCTCGGGGCTGGTGCACTGGGATGACCCAGAGGGATGGGATGGGGAGGGAGGTGGGAGGGGGTTCAGGATGGGGAACACATGTAAATCCATGGCTGATTCATGTCAATGTTTGGTAAAAACCACTACAATATTGTAAGGTAATTAGCCTCCAACTAATAAAAATAATTGGGGAGGGGGGAACAGTGAAAAAAAATAAAATAATCAAAAGATGCTTGCCCCCTGAAAGAAAAGCTATGACAAACCTAGACATCGTATTAAAAAGCAGAGATGTCACTTTGCAAACAAAGGTCTGTATAGTCAAAGCTGTGGTTTTTCCAGTAGTCATGTAGGCATGTGAAAGCTGGACCTTAAAGAAGGCTGAGCACCGAAGAATTGACGCTTTCAAACTGTGGTGTTGAAGACTTTTGAGAGTCCTTTGGGCAGCAAGGAGATTAAACCAATCAATCCTAAAGGAAATCGACCCTGAATATTCATTGGAAGGACTGATGCTGAAACTCCAATACTTTGGCCACCTGATGTGAAGAGCTGACTCACTGGAAAAGATGCTGATGCTGGGAAAGATTGAAGGTGGGAGGAGAAGGGGGCGACAGAGGATGAGATGGTTGGATGGCATCACTGACTCAATGGACATAAGTCTCAGCAAACTCTGGGAGACAGTGAAGGACAGGGAAGCCTGGCATGCTGCAGTCCATGGGGTCACAAGGAGTCGGACAGGAATTAGTGACTGAACAACAAAAAATAATTAACCCCTTATCTTCACAGGGAGTTTTACCATAGTTGCCAGATTGCTACCTTCTTCTTGACCTCTCTTTCTCAGCTGAGTGGAGGGTGCATCCTCTTCTGTCGACAGCCTCCATCTCCATTGCAAAGCCCTGTGACCTCCTGTGACTTCACAGACACAGAAAGCTCATCCTGCAACCAGCCCCCACCTTGGTTCCCCACCCTCAGCAATACGGAAAAGGGCAGAAGTTTTCAAGCTCTCTCTCTAACATATACTGGATGAAGTTCTTAGTTGGGGTTTGTATGTTTCACCAAAAGCCAATCCCAGGCAAACATGAGAAAGGCTGCAAGGTTGGTCTACCTGTTACCTCGATTCCAGTAAAAAATGGAAACATCGTGGTGGTGGTTTAGTCACTAAGTCGTGTCCTACTCTTGTGACCCCGCGGACGGCAGCCCGCCAGGCTCCTCTGCCCATGGGATTCTCCAGGCAAGAATACTGGAGTGGGTTGCCATTTCCTTCTCCAGGGGATCTTCCCGACCCAGGAATTGAACCCGGGTCTCCTTCACTGCAGGCAGATACTTTACCAACTGAGCTGTGAGGGAAGCCCTGTCCTAGATGTCCATAAATAGAAATAATATTTTCGTATCTGAGAGCACATCCACTAAGGAGGTTCTAAGGGAGCTTTACAGAAATGTTGGCTAATCCAAGCACATGCAATGTATCTGCTCCCACAGTAAGTTTAAAAAGATTGAGAATTATTTCCTTATAACACGACTGCAGCTGGGCAGTGTTTAACACCTGAAAATCTATTGCAAAGAAAGACAAAAAAGGCTGGAAAGAAGTGCATCAAAAGGAACAGAGATGGAGCCCACAGGGTGAGCCGTTGGTTGATTACCTTTCTCTTTTATAATTTTCCAGCTTTTGAAATGAGCATGTCCTACTTTTATAACTGAAAAACACAGAAAGTCTTGAACTTTTGCATTTAACCAGTGGGCCAAAGCAATAAAGAGCAGAGGCCCCACGGCGGTGCACCCAGCGCTCCTCCGGGCCGCAGGGCGGAGTCGGCCACGGCCGTCAGGGCGGGGCGGAGTCCCGGGACCGCCTCCGGCCTCAGGACCCTGCTCTGCGCCGGAGCCTTCAGAGGGGAGCCTGTTTTATCTCCGCGCACCTATGACGTCACCCTAGGAAAACCAGAAAGCGCCGATTAATCACGAAGTCAGGACTAATCCCTGAAAAGAATTCGGGTCGGGTTGAGATGAGAGGGTGCCCCAGACGGCGATGTCAGACGCCGCCGCGGGGGCCGCCGTCCGGACGGCCACGCCCTCGCCCCGGCGGGCTCTGCAGGGGCGCATGCGCAACAGCCCGCAGGCCGCTGGCCGGCCACCTGCTCCCTCCCGCCAGGCAGGTTTGCTCTGTGCTGCGACCGTTCTTGACCATCACCACGGTGCTGAGACAATGGTCTGGCCACCATCTGCAGCAGTATCAGAGCCCCAAAGGGTAATTAAATCCTGGACCGTAACTGGAATTCACTTGGAGAGAGAAGCCATTCTTAAAGTATAGAGTTTTATAGCTACCTGCTTTAATGAGATCTATATTAGAGTTCCATATCATTCATGACTTTATTTTTATTAAAATTGTTTTAACGATTTCCAACCATTAGCCCGCTCCGTTAGCCAGTTGCTGGAGGATGGCCGGGCTCTAGGATCCAAAGTCAGGGTGCAGGCCTGTGTTCCCCAGGAGCCCTTGCGGGGAGCCACCGCAGCAAAAACAGAATGGGCACCTAGCAGCATCGTGGAACAGGGCTGCCGATGCCTGGAGCGGCTTGCTAAGGGATGGTAAGCCTTGGATGCTGACTGTTTTCCTTGGAGATGGTCCTCACACTGGTCTTGCTAAAAAGCTACGTCCTCTGGGAGAAAAGTGATCAAAGGACTCTGGGGGTTCTGAGATGTCAGTAAAGTCATCAGACAGTGAAATATGTCGTTCTCATGAATGGCTTTGTAAAATCTTCTGAAAAGAATTCCGGGTGAGGTGACACACTCTTTTTTCAGGCCAGTCGAGCAAAGGGCTTGAGACATTTTAAGTGGGAAGCTGCTGAACTCTGCTCAGGAGGCAGTGCTGGGAAGAGTGCCCCGGAGCAGGGGGGTAGGGAACACCTCCCTTTGCCTTCACAGCGTCTCATCTCACAGCGGACTCCTCCATGAACTTTCCATGAAGGAGCTCCCACTGGAGTCCCTGCAGCTCAGTGTCCCAGCTCCCACACCCTGTGTTTGTAGTTTAGTTTATCAGGCACATGTTCAACTGTGAGCCATACTACGAGCCACACCAGTGAGCAGGGTGTAGGCACGTGCCTGGAACTTGGGGATGAGTGGAGATAGAGTTGGGGTCCACATGAGCAGCACTGGTACTCCTAAAAGATGCCCATAAATGCAAATTGCCCTGCTGATTTGTTTTAATCACATCACAACTTGACACAATCTTTGTTTTCTTCCTTCCTTCCTTTCTTCCTCTCTCTCTTCCTCCTTCCCTCTCTCCCTGCCTCCCTGTCTCTCACTCACACACACTCTGTCTCACACACACTCTTTCTCATTCACACATGCACTCTCTCACACACTCACACTCTGTCACACACACACACATTCTCACACACACACTCATACATTGACACACACAATCCTCCTCACACACATACTCTGTCACTGTTTCTCTCACACACACTGTCTCATGCACACACTTTCACTCACACACTTTCTCACACACTCATTCTCTCACACCCTGTCACTCACACGCTCACACTCTCACACTCACAGTTTCTCACTGACATTCTCATTCACACTGTCTCTCACACACACACTCTCATACACTCACACACACACACTTTTTCACATTCACACTTTCTCACACACGTACCATTTCTTTCTCACTCACTGTTTCTCTCACACAGTCTCTTACACACTGTCTCATGCACACACACACTTTTTCACTCTCACACACTTTCTTACACACTCACTCTCACACTGTCTCTCACACACTCTTTCTCACACTCTCTCACACACATACTCTGTCTCTTTCTCACTCACTGTTTCTCTCACACAGTCTCTCACACACTGTCTCATGCGCATACACATTTTTTCACTCACTCTCACACACACTCTTTCTCACTCTCAGTCTCTCACTCACACTCACACACACACTCTGTCTCTTTCTCACACACTGTCACACACATTCTCTCATTCACACACACACTTTATTACACACTCACTCTCACACTATCTCTCACACACTCTCTCACACACATACTCTGTCTCTTTCTCACTCACTGTTTCTCTCACACACTCTCACACACTGTCTCACGTGCATACACATTTTTTCACTCACTCTCACACACACACACTCTTTCTCACTCTCAGTCTCTCACTCACACTCACACACACACTCTCTGTCTCTTTCTCACACACTGTCACACACATTCTCTCATTCACACTCACACACACACTTGGTTTCTTTTTCACTCACACACACTCTCTCTCTCACAACAGAGGTCACACTAGGGTTGCTTTATGAACTTCACCAGCACACTCAGTGCTGCATTATGTTAGATTGCCTTGGCAGGGAGAAGGGTGTTTATCTGCTTTTGATCACTGTTGGAGTCTCAGGCCTTTAAATCCTTTGAACTTAGATCCATTGTTCCACACTGGCTGCTACTGATTCTACAACACCAGTGCTTTCTTGATTATATTTCTTTGGCTAAAGTGTGATGCCTTCTTGATTATATTTCTTTGGCTAAAGTGTGATGCCTTCTTGATTATATTTCTTTGGCTAAAGTGTGATGCCTTCTCTGCCTCCTGGACCCAAGGGGCTGGGGATGTGGAGGAGGGTTCCTAAGCCATCATCAGTAGCTTGAGTCCCTGTGGCCTGTTTGGAGCTCATGGTCAACATCTAACTGGGTTCAGGAGAAGTAGCAGTGGGTTTATGTAGCTCAGGAGAGATAACCCAGTTCAAAGGTGTGGGAGGAAAAGATAGGGATGTTTGGTGGCTGCTAAAATCAGAGCTGCTTAAACTGAGGTTATCATCAGAATTACCCAGGAAACTTAAAAATAGAGGCTTCCAGAGTTGGGAGTGGAGCAGACATCTGTGGTTTTCAAAGCTCTTGGCTGATTCTGATATCAGGTAAGGCAGGGCCCACTGGTTTATGGTGTGGGTTACTATGAATGAGGGGTAGCACTCAGCTTAGGTGACACAGTGTTTCTGGGGGTGAGGCTGCTGATCAGAAATAATGAGGTTTTGGAGATATATTTAGCCCAGTTTTCCAAAATTAGCTTTACTGTTGGGGGTACCTTAAGACTTGGGACTCAGCTGAAGGGATCTGGGAAGAGGACCAAAGTACCTACCTCCTGAGTGATTAGGAGGCAAAGGTTTGCAGGTCCCTAAGACTAAAGGAAAGGAGTTTGGCTCAGGTCAAAGAACCATCAGTCTTTTGAGGTAAACTGTATGTCCAAATTGCAGATGAGGAAACCAAAGCTCAGAGCAATTAGGTGAATCATCTAAGGATTCCCAGCTGGTTGGTGGCAGAGACAGAGCTTGACCTTTAGGCTGTTTGATTCCCGAATGTGAGTTCTTTTGATATCAGATTTCATTTCCCGTTTCAGAGGGTTAGGGTTAGGGAGTTGAATATAAGTTGAAGAGTTGGGGTGGGGGAGGTGAGCAAATTTAAGGAATGAATGATAGTGCTAAAAGACGCAAAGCGCATTTATTTTGAAAACTTATAATGGGGTTATTGTTTCAATTAGGTTCTTCATAGTGTGAGATTTTCGTATGTCCATGATATCTTCAAATCAGCTTGAGTATTAGAAAGGGGCATAATAAACCAAACCAGTGGAACCAGAGGATGCTTAGGTTCTAAATTTTAATAAACAACTATTCATACCTTTCCAGAATCACTTAAAAGGAAACCGGTATAACTTTGATAATATAGCCTTCACATTTTAGCAGTGTCTCTAAAGTGCTCACCATCTTGGTTTGAGAAGGAAGTCAGCAGTGACTTGGAGAGCATGCCATACTTGTGACATGGGCTTGAGAGTCCAGAGCGGGGAGAGCAAAGGAAATGAAGAAGCACCCTTTGGAGGATGAGGACAGAAATCCATGTAGGAAAATAATCACACCTTGGGGATCATGAAGGGTCTGTAAGTACTACCGATTACTCACCAGTTGTAAGATCTCCCAGCATTACTCCATCTTGGCAGTGGGAAGGATGTTACCAAATGATTACATTGCCTGCTGGCTTCTTCCAAACTCCTGACTGGAAAAAAAAAAAAAGGAGTGAATATTCACTCTGCACGATGGAATTGTTTCTTTTATAGAGTCTACCTCATGGAGGTCCTTCAAGCAAATTGGGATTTGAAATTTTATTTTTTTGTTGACCACATTCCAACAAATTCTGAAACATCTAAGTCGTATCCTGGAAGCAGTTTCCTTAAATTTAACCAGACTCGTGTTAGGCCAATGACCACCAAGGTTATATTTTAGCCTTATATTTTAAATACTCTGGGAATGTCAAACTTGGCCCCATCATATTGGATGAGATAGAGGGGGGAAAAAACCTTCTTGGTTCTTGAAGGTGCTGTAACATTTTTAGGTCAATTTTACTTAACTTTCAGCACACAAGATAATTGGGAAAAAGTGCACTTGTAGAAAAACAAAAAATTTTTTTTCCCCTATTGGTAGGAGATATTTTACTTAAAAGCAGTAAGGATAATGTGGGATAGAAGGCAAGAGGAACTGCATTCAGGTGCATGCAGGTGCTAGAAGAATTCTTTGGTTACTGTGGATTTTGAAATGGCTAGCCCTTCTTCAGGTGATACTTGTTGGGATTGTCAGGGGGCGGGGGAAAGCCCCATTATTAACTAGCAAACCTCAGGAGACACTAAGTGTCTTGGATATTTAAAGGAGAAAGAGAGAGAAGTAAGTGTACCATTTGAGCATATTACTAAACCTTGTCAGCAGAGAGGAGGTTTTCTTTGAAGAGAGGCACTGAACACATTTTCACATTATACCTACAGACAGGGTTCACCCAGGAGCCAAAGGCAGGTTGTTATCCAGGAACATGATCTTCTCCCAGCTCAGCAGGTCATGAGGACCTTGTTCTTAAACCTGGGACTATCGCCAGCCTGTGGAGAGACACTTTGGCTACTCATATAGCTCACAGGCCTGG